ATGAAATGCCTAGATTGCCCCAAGGAATATATAGGACAAACCGGGAGGAAATTTATTACCAGATATAAAGAACACATACATGACATAAGACACAATAACAGCAGTACAGGATACTCAGAACACATATTAAACACAGGACATGCATATGATACTATAGAAAACACTATGGATATCATAGCAACAGGTAGGAAGGGGCAATACTTGAACACATTGGAGAACTATTATATATACAGAATGACAAAGAAAAACACACATATGAACAATATAAATAAAGAAATATATAACCCAATATACCACGAATTACATACTATCTACACAGAACAACATAACAACACCCCACCACTTACCCCCACCACATCTACCCCCACAACATCATAACTCAATCAAAACGAAGACAGCACACACACACACACATACCCAGCAGGCCCAGCAGTATAACACACGCAGTTCCAGAAGCAAGACACAACACAAAGCACAGTGAGTATTAAACATTATAATACCACACGTGACAAATAAAATCCAGAACGCGGTATTAATGAATAATTTCACGTTACAGATACACACATGAAAGTAGGAAGAATACTCCGATAGAAGAAGATAGGTGTGACTCGCGTATTGAGATAGACATAAGGATGACAAATCTTGAACCGTTTTAATATTTTTATTATTTAAAATTTATCAATATATATGACGAAAATATATTTTAGTTATTTTAGTATAAAGACAACAGGGCATGCAATGAAGTGGTTCGACGTACATCGAAAAGTACCTGAAGATGGCACTTTAATGCCGAAACATGTATTGCAAGAGAGAAGAGTAAGGTGAATAAATGTATGCACTGTAAGACGGTCGGAATAAATCATGGACATAAATTTGTAATTTCTGGAGGTCGTACTGTAAGTGAGTTCAGATCATTGCGAATTCTCCTTAACGTGGATTCTGTCTACCGAGAATTCACTGTTTAAAGAAAACTTTTTGTCTCTTTGTTGTGTAGCGTGATTAGCTTAGCAACGATGGATTTGTATCTATAATCACGCATGAGCATAAGGGACAACATCGTAAGAGAACTGGCATGTAATATATTTCGCAAAATACGTGTAGTCCACCGGAATACAGGTTTCCACTGTTGTTATGTGCTGAGAAAAGTTATCACCTCTCTCTTAATGATCGGATACCGAACAGACACAGATTAGAAGTTATCTCGAATGTTTCCAGTGCCTGTGCTTTCATTTTAACGTTTCACGGTCAATAATGCGATTTTCTTCTGTCTGCTAGTGCTTCCGCCCTTTGCTCCCAGATAAGCTCCGCACAGACCTCGTTCATGGACGGTATAAAAGTCGGCGGTTTGGGTGGAACTGCTCAGTTTCTCATTGGTCGAGCCATGGAGAAGGACTGCACCCTCAAGGTTGAGAGACCAGTCTACGAACAGGAGGAACTCCACAGGACATGTGGCTACTCCAAACCTAGGTCCACTGGTAAGTATCAGATTTCAGCAATCAGACCTGGACCAAGAAACAACAAATACATCAGTTAGTGAAGTCACCTATGGCTAAACCCGTGAATCTCAGGTCATCATAGTTTTGTAACAAGACGCAGAGTGCAGAAGCTGTGGTATTTCAGATTCTTACGGCAGTCTCTATGAAGATATATTTGTGCGATGTGACGTGTTCTAGTTTTTTGATAGGTATCAACGTTTTGAAGGATCGTGCTGTCTCCATGTTCAGGGAAGAAGAGCTTCGCTTACCCTGAAGAAGGGGATAGCACATTCCTCCGAAACGTCTGTAGATATCTACCAAATTCCACCCCGCCACGCCCCAGAAGACGTCTTCAGAATAGAATGTGTTACGGAACATGAAAACGGAAAGAAGAGCCCGTATACCCGTGCAGACCTCATTTTGTAGGACACTCTGAACATTTCATTAAGTTCATTATCTTTTCACAGAAGTCCGGCATTGGATAATTCAGTCCAGCCCAAACCAAACTATTTCCGCAAAGATCCATTTTAATATTATATTTCTCCAGGGAACGCCTATGATTTGTATTCAGGAAGTGTCCGGTCAGAAAATTGGCCTGAACACCGACTATCCTTAAAATTTTCGTGCCTTTTTTCACTTCTGTCAGGCAAACTTCGGGATAGTGCCTCAAATTATATAATGTCCACATTCTTTCAATTTCATTATCCGCTAATCACCTTCCTAATGCAAGCTATGGAAAAGGTCGTTAAATAAGCCGTAATCGAATCTGCGGTTAGGTCTCTACATTCATTGATTTTTTAAGGATTTTCGACCAAAATATTCGTATAAATGCATGTTTTATCTTCCCTCCCATACGTCCTTCTTGATTTAATTATTCAAATAACATTATGTGAACAGATTATGAAGTTCCCCTTATGTATGTTTCTCCGTCCTCTTTCTTGTTTCCAACTTCTGTAACAGAGCCTCGAACAAATATAAGAAAATCAACATGAAACTGAAAGTCTGGGGTTTTCCTAGTTTTTATTTGAAAATAACAATTACTGTTCCATATTATTGACGATTTCTCGACTTCATGATAGAAATTTCGATAAATTATTACCAAGATCCTTTTTAGAGGTTCCCGCCTTCACCAGACGCCACCTGCTTCTCAGCAACGCATGTGCGCTGCTGCTACGTCAGCGGGCTGCAATGCTTGAAACCTTATGCCACATAATAACAGTGGGCGTGAGAAAGCACAAGCAGCAACGAGCTTTTAATTTAACTTATTTTATGACACTAAAATAGAACAAATTTACTTTTACTTTCTACGTGTTGATTTTTATATCAGCTAAATCTGGTCAGTCGGTTACAGTTATGGCCATGTTGAATATATGAACACAGAAATACGTATACTGGCATTCTTCTGCGGTCTTCTGTCCTGAAGATGAGGGCACCAGGTTCCTCCAAATGTTGATATCTGTCTATCAAACTCTTCGCAGTCAGATCCCACGATCTCAGCTCGTATGTTAATTGAAATACCTTCCCCTATTTAAATAATTAATTAAAAATTTTCATAAAAATCTATTAAGAGCTCTTGCAGGAGGTAATGAATTTTTTGGATCCCAAGGAATTATCTGATTATGCCATAATTTTCTTTAATTCGCTCCCAACATCAGAATTTCTGATACGTAACTCGTTTTCTGTACTGAACTCGTGAGGATACAGAGAATTTAACGGTAGTTTGAACTCAAATCCGCGCCACTTCACAAAGTTTTATAACTCGATTTTGTCATAGCCTAGTAAACCGAACCAATTAAAATACTTAGCATAAAATAATTATAACTTTTAGAATCGGCAGAGTGGTGATCACGAACTTTCGCGAGGTCTCTGCGCGTTCGTTAAATATTGGCTGATTGGCTATTCAGTGATGCTGTCAGTAGCAGGCCCACAGAGAACCGGATTAATGAAAGATGAAATGGAAAGATTTAGAAGGGAACGGTCACGGGCGAATAGAAGTACTATCCTGTAATTTGCATAGAGGGACTGAGGAAAACCACTAGTTAGACTAGCCGGTATTCCAGCCAAGATTCGAACGCGAATCTCTCTAATATGTGTCTGGAGCGTTACCGCCAGGCCAACCTATTCAGTTCCACTAAAGGTAGCCCAAGAATTTATTCAAAGATCTGTGAGCATGCTAAGCTGAATGTTCCTACACGGATTGACGTTAATTGTGTCTTTGACTCGGAAGTTCACAGAGCCGCCATGCTGGCACTGATGACGGAGAATTAAGAAATTCAGAGATGCCATAGTCCACAATAACACGCATATCTCATAAAGTTTTATAAAAATCGGACAAGTAGCCTTGAACAAGTTCATATAGCAACTGGAGCCTCAAAAGTATGGCTGAGGCTTCGATGTGGTTTAAATCGATGAGGGAGGGAAAGGGAGGTTCAGAATTTCGAAAACAAACCACCCCTTCACCGATTATTTTCGCAGGAACTATAAGAAGCAAAAGAAAGTTGTTCTTCAATGAAGGTAACTTACTCCTATTTTCAGTAATTTTAAATGGGGTAATATTGTGCTATTCTAACTTGAATTGTGAAGATATGTCTGATACCAGAATTCGAAGATTCAGAAACATTAGAAGATCTGACATTAGACACGACGGGCCCGCAATGTTCTCCCCCCTTCTACACAGTACACTTCCCTAAGATGCTTCTTAATGTTGTCCTATTTCCAGCAAAAAATTTCCCAAGCGACATTTCTTATAATCCCATCTCAACCATCAGAGTGCCCAAGATTTCAGAAGCGTTGTATTTCCTTCAGAAAAAACTGGCAGTGGGCACTGAGCGCAGCGTGGACGTCTGAATGACACGCAAAATTAGATGCTAGACAAGGAATGAATGAGATCATTCGCAAAACGTCCGGTTTGTAAGCAAACTGCTTGCATTTCCAGAGTTTTCACAGATTTCTTTAATCTTCCCAGTCGATGCTGAGACAGTTCTATGCATTTGTCTCAGAGCAATCATCGAAAGCTTAAATAAATTAACGGAATCTAAGCAAGAAGTAACTCCACCTTTATCAAAGAAAAATGCAATTCATTATCTTAAAGTTATATGTAATATATAATTAAGAACGTACTATTCAAAAATTAAAGTAATACGTTGAATACATGCAAAGAAGAACGGTACAGAGCTATAAAAAGGAGTTAATCGGCACCACAGATTTTAAGTATACGTATGTGAGTGTATTTTTAGAATTCGGCTGTTCTTAATAGCGAAAGGCCCAAATTGAAACCCGAGATGAAGATGGGACAAGCAGATCAGGATAGTAGAACACGAGAGAAAATTGAAGGGAAGGAGGCTTGGGAAGACAGAGTTTATATTGATATGTTGAACCTACATAAGGACGTATATGTCGAAGAAGAAAAATAAGAAAAATACTAATAATGAAACAACGGGACTACAGGCCATGTTTTTAGACCTGGCTTCTGGACTACGCGTAAAAGGACGAATAGAAAGAAGCAGTAAGGTAAAGCTATCGCTGTAACAGGCCGTGGAGGCCCGTAGGGTTGTGAGACGTCGAGGCTTCCACATTATCTAGACAATCGGCTCACAGATGGCGGTAAGGTTGTCAGCCTTACGCACCGGCCGCGCTTTACTCCCCAGGAAAATTATTTAATTAATTCCTGGTACTCATTTCTGTTAGAGGCTGAGTCGACCCCAGGGCTATAGTGCGGCTGGAAGGATTAGGTCAACTGAAAAAATCCAATTACCTCATCGGGATTTGAACCTGCGATCTTCCGGCTTCTAGCATAGTGTCTCAACCAACTACGCTACTGCGTGCCCCCCGATATATGCTAGTAACACAGCGATATAACTCAAAGTGTTAAAAGGAAATATTTGCTCAGTATAAACAATTGAACTAACCCCATGGAGCAGTCTTTCTTGAATAGCTTATAGTTGCTTAGGTGTTCAAAAGTTCCCGGTCACTTCTTGGAAACAGAAAGTATTACTGTGTTCACGAGATCCATGTTAAGTGAGTTTATTATCCCTTGCCATCATCTTCAGGTTGCTGCAGTCGCAGACAAACTCCAGCTTGCAGCTTGCGCAAATTGAACGCACTCCCCCCCCCCCCCGNGTAAAATTGTAACGTTCTAGGAAATGGTGCACAGGAAGGAAACAAAAATACAAGATACTGATCTTGGCAGTAGATTGCCATGAAGGGAATAGCATATGGAATTCCCAAACTGTATCGCGAAGCTACTTTTTTATTTTTTTAGCTTCTCTACTTTTACATGGACCTTGCGCACTCTTCATGCAGATTGCTACAGTGAACGCAGTTCACTGAATCATGCTTTCACTGCGGAACGCGAAGGACTGTCAATAACACTAGTAGCCTTGAAGTAACATGCCATTTCTTCCTCACTTATCATAAAATATTAGCACTAGGAGACAATTTCTTAACCCTTTGAAGCGTATTTAAAAATTCAGTTTCTACCTCTAAGAGAACACACTTCTTCTCCACTACAAAGCCAGAATATTAGTGTTATCTGGTGACATAAATGTTATTTATTCTGAGATGAAAAAAACCCCTTAAAAATCTGTGGGAAAAAGCAGCAATTTGAATATTCAAACAGGCAGTACATGCAGTAACCAGGGTGTTTTGAAGGGTTCAGATGGAAGATAGCATGAATGGCGTGAAACGTCATTTAATTTGGGCCCTCAAAAATGTGATTATAGTGTTTTAGAACCATGAAATGGAAACGAAGTACCTGGCGCCCATATTTAAAATTATATGGCGTGTCTAACTTGCTACAACTCACACATTTCATAGGTAACCAAGAGTAATTTCCTAAAGTAGCGATTGTAATATAACTACAAATAGAGACCGGGATAGCGCAGTTGGGGTTCGAGTCCAGGTAGTGTCAAGAATTTTATCTTCTCCAAGTCATTCATACCGGTTCTGGGGCCCACCCAGCCTCCTATCCAATGAGTACCCGGGTATCTTCCCCCAGGGGT